TGCACATTGCTGCCCTGTGAGTAGGAAGTGGCTGGCCTTGTTTACCCTGATTCTTGACCCGGACAGCTGTGAAATTCCATCCACAGTGTTGAGCTGTAGTGGGATCCTAGGCCCCGCTCTTGGGGTGACAGTCCAGGTGTCCTTCCTAGGAGGCAGGGTCTCAGCACCTCAGCTATTGGTAGTGCCTTCCCTTCCCATGCCTTCCCTTCCCACCCTTCCTCTACCCCCCAGTGTGTGTGAGGTCTGCCTGGGTCTGAGGCCTGCTAGGTTTGCGTGTTCTGATATGGCTGCCAAGGTCTAGGGTCCTGAGCCAGTGCTCTGCAGCACTACTGGTGGGACAGGGTGAGGTATGATATGTTGTCATCCTGTCACATTCACAGACTATCACCCCATATCCCTCTTCCCGTTGTGGGAGGCAGACTGACTGTCCATAAACCAGAGCCTGAGGCCCAGATCTGTCGCATCCACCCTGTCACACAATGTTGTGGCTTTGATTTTTCTGACATGGAGCTGCTGTTGATTATGCACAATGTGTGGATGCACCATGGGTGTGGGCAGCTTGAGAAAGTGTCACACAGACTGTATGGCCCTGCTGACTCTTGGAACAGCCTGAGGAAATGGGCATCTGTGCTCTGGCTGGGCAGCCGCAGCCCTGGAAGGAGATCACCAGCAGTCTATTGATACCTGCTCTGGGTGGGGCATAATTGGGCTTTCAAGTTTTGAGAAGTCCCTTTGCTGCTTGTTCCATAGGGCGCTGCTGGGCGGCCACCAGCACAGAAGGGCTCCTCATCTTCTCTCTGGATGCCCAGATGCTCTTCGACCCATTTGAGCTGGACACCAGTGTGACACCTGGGCGGATCCGTGAGGCATTACGACAGAGGGAGTTTACCCGGGCCATCCTGATGGCCTTCCGGCTCAATGAGAAAAAACTGGCACAGGAGGTCCTGGAGGCTGTACCACAGGATGAAAGTAAGCCAGGACCAGCAGCCCTGTGCTGCTAATTTGGGGAGCTCCGGGTGTCTCTGTTCTTCCTGGCAACGTCTTTGCACATTGAGAATGGCTTTTCTTCTTCTTGTAGTTGATGTGGTCAGCGCTTCCCTCCCTGAGCTGTATGTAGAGAAGGTTCTTGAGTTCTTAGCTGCCTCCTTTGAAGTGTCTAGGCACCTTGAATTCTACCTTATATGGACTCAGAAGTTACTTATGTCACATGGACAGCGGCTGAAGCCCAGGTATAGAATAGGTTCCCACTTGCTCTTTGCCTTCTGGTCAAGCCACCTGGCTGTTTGGTCATGGCAACAGGAAAGTTTCCCTGCACACACACACTGACAGCATCTTCTTTCCAGGGCGGGGCAGTTGCTGCCTGTGGTCCAGTTCCTTCAGAAGGGGCTCCAGCGGCATCTGGATGACGTTTCCAAGCTGTATGTCATTGGGATTGGGTGGCAGGGTAGGGCAGGGCTCATGCGGCTGGTTCTGTTAGGATTGTTCCCTGTGGTGTCTGATTTGGGGTCAGAATATCCTGGTATAGGAGATGCATGTTCTACTCTCTGCTGGGAGAACCAAGTCCATTTGCCACTCACAGTGGGATGAGTGTGACAGTCACCTATGGGCCTGTCTGACATTAAAGTTGCCACAGTTGGACAAGTAGAGGTGGGACATGCCGGAGGCATATTGAGAGCCCTTCACCCTGGGGATGGACACCTCACAATTGTAGGACCAGGCAGCCTGATCTAGATTTGCATGTCACCTCTGGGCAGTAGGAGGTGGCCGTGCATCTTGTTGTCAGGTAGCCTGGATTCCTGCAATCTGATCAGCGTGCAGGTTTCCCTGTTGTGGAGATGATGGCTGAGTGTAATTACAGTACTTGGACTAGTGCTCGACAGAACGATCCCATGTCCATCCTTCCTTTCCTCAGCCCCCACCTCCAAGTGCTTTTTGGTGGTCTGAGCCATTGCCACGTGTCCTGGCCAGGCTTATAATATCCCTGTCTACTAGTCTCTCCATACGGAGTCCCTGAGAGAGGCTGGCACCAGTGCACTGTGATCCCCCTAGTCCTCCTGATTATAATGCATCTGAGTCTAGAGCAAGCCCTTCCTCTTTGTGCCCTTTCTTCCTTCCTGGTGTTGGGGGTGGTTATGCTAGGGTGTGGCGGAGTGCTTAGCCATGTGCATGGGGCTTAGCTAGCCTTTCCCTGGCCAGTGAGTCCCTGACGCCACAGCTCTGCAAAGAGTACTCTTGCATCTCTGTCTTCTCCTTCTGGTTTTATTGCGGAGGCGTAGGCATCATTGTGTTTGTATCAATTTGTGAGGCAGCCCTCTGTAGAAGTCATGGCACACACAAGTGCAAGGTGCAGCTTTTCCTTTCTACGGGGCTTTGCCCTCAACCTTGGCTCTAGGAGATAAGATCTGAGACCTCCCCTTAGTCCTATGACTGTGTAGAGTCAGCCCCCTGGCTCTGTATATGGCCTTAATGGAAGGACCAGCAAGGAGAGCAGGCCAGATGCTGCCCTACACTGGATGCAGCAGGAACTGAATCGGCCTGGGAGAGGAGGGGATAATCTTTGAGCATAGTTGCATCTAATCCTGCTGGTGGTGGCAGGGTGGGATGTTTGTGCTGACCTGATGTCTTATGTCCCCAGCTGTGACTGGAACCGCTACAACATCCAGTACGCTCTGGCAGTTTCCAAGCAGCGGGGTGTAAAACGCACCCTGGAACCTGTAGACACAGAAGAGGACACAGACGCCTCTGATGATGACAGTCTGCACCTACTCAGGGGAGCTGCAGATGACGAGGAAGAAGAAGAAGGGATGCTGGTGTAGAACCTCCCACCTCACAGCCTGGTCAACTGATTGGAGGTGGAGCCATGGTGCCTCTGAGCCCAGGAAGTGAGAGATAGCAGAGGCCTCAAGACCCTGCAGCTGGGACTCTTCCGTGAGACAGCACATGCTGCCATGCAGCAGCAAGCCAGCCTTCAGGTCCAGGATGAGGATGGATACAATGGCACGTATATGCCGTAGGCCCAGAATGCTGGCATTGTGGGAGATCCTGCACATAGACTTCCTAAGAAGTGGGCAGTTTTAAAGTGTGGACTTATAAACTTCCTGCCAGAGTTATTTATATTTTTAATATGAACTTCTGAAAGCTTTTTTTAAAATATGAGGACTTCACTCCTCAACTTTGTTTCTGATGTTTATAACATGTCCTGGGTGAGACATTGTCTTCAGGTAAGCAAGGTAGACGAGAGTGACTGCTCAGGCCTGTGGTAAGACAGCAAGGCAGAAAGCGTGCCAGACTGACCCAGGGGGTTGAATGAGACAGCCCAAAGCTGGCCAAGGAAGCTTGTACAAGTCTGTGCCAGTGTGGTCAGGTTATGTAGGAGAGGGGACAGTCCTTTCATGCCAGTGTGGTGCTTTACTGATACTGTTCATTATGGTTGACTCGCCAGTGAAGTGACCTACAGGTCACTAATGCTGGAAGCTGCCCATTGGCTTCTGTATCTGTCCAGGCCACAGGAATGGATCTGTGTGACACCTGATGCACTCAGAGCCGCTGCTGTCACACTCAGGGTATGCCATGACCTGTCTGGTCACCTGGAATCCACAAGTATGGAGAGAAACCAGAGCTCAGCCTGCTGTCACCAGGTTTCCTGTTCCTGCACAGTGTTTCTGTGTGTAGCTTGGAATGGGGATGGGGTGGAGTGGTCACTTCTTGCCTGCCCAGGCAGGATCCTGGCTGCCCAGACAGGGCCTTGCTTGCTTTAGTGCCCTCCTGTGATTTCCATCTGCAGGAGTTAATACAGTTTTATGCAGCCTTACCATTTTTGTCTGTGTATGTGGTGCTGAACATGGAACAGGGCTTGGGGTATGACAGGCAAGTACTACTGAGGCATACTCTAGCCATCACCCATCTCTAACAAGTTTAATTACTATACCAGAAACAGGGCTCAGTCACTCTGTGGAGTATCTTACAGGTCTGCTCCTTGGTAACCATGCTCATCTCATCCTCTGTGGACATCCGGATGCAAATTGCTTAACACTCCATTGAGTACCTGTGCCCTGGTTCCCAATAAGTGTTGTATGTCCCCTGGCTTCTACATTTGCTATACACCCCAGGCCTATTTCCATCATGTGTCTCCTAAACGTGAAAAGGCTGCCATCTTGACATAGAAACACCCGGCAGCTGATTTCCAAACACTATGCTAAGGATCACTCCCAGGAGCTGAGAGCAGCCCGGCCACCTTTGACGGCTTTCAGTGGCAAGGGAGAGGCAGTGAAACTTTGGGAGCTGTCTGGTTAAACAAGCCTTCCATCAACGGCAGCCACCAAGCCTTTAATCCCAGCACTAGGGAGGCAGATCTCTGTGAGTTTGAGGCCAGCCTGGTCTACAGAGCGGATTCAGGACAGCCAGGGCTGGTACACGGAGAAACGCTGTCTACAGAAACAAAGAAACGATGTTAAAAGGAAAGCACAGGTGCTCAGTTCTTCCTCTGAATCAGCTGGTGCACCTTTATCCCATTATCTGCAGAAGCGTAGCAGGAGAAGCTAGGGTTGTGACTTCAAAATCAGTTTATGGGCATTTTAAGTGATTGCAAAGAATTGAGCTGCAGTAGACAGTCAGGGTGTCCTACTCCAAAATGAGTGCCCTTCAAGCACTAAGCAGGCAGGACACGGCCACCAGCACACTCACTGGAAAATTCTAACCTAAGCTGGCAACTGCCCAGACCCGCCCTTGCCCTCTCTAAACCAGGAGAGGCGTGTCCCACATTCGGCCAGGCATTGGGGGGGGTGTGTGCAATCCCGCCTACTGGTTCCTTACTGCCGCGGGGAATGGGGGTGTTCTGTGAACTCTGCTGCCCGGCTCGCCCTCCAGTCCTACGCAGAGCAAAGTACCACCATGCACCCACTCCATCGATCACTGCGCAGGCGCGGTCCCGCCCACCAGCCCTCGGGAAAGGGCTGCAGCGCGCTCCGCCATTGGCTAGGAGCGACTCCGCCCTACTGCGCGCACGGCAACGCCACTCTCTCGACTCTGCCGTGTGTCCTTCGCCATGGCGGCCGTCAGGGCTCTGGTGGCGCCGAGACTGGTTTCTGCGCTCGCACCGCTCTCGGGGCGTCACCATGCTCCCTCCCAGCGCGCAGCCCTTCACGGCTCCGCACCGCGGCCTGGGGCCAGGGTGGCGTTGGTGAGTGCACGGCCAGACAGACTCGCAGGCCAACTCCCTCCCCTTGCTCGCTCCCCGCAGACTGGGGTCGGATAGCCGACTTCCCAAGGTCGGCCCCTGCAGGGGCTCAGCCTTCCTCTCCCCTTGGTAATTTCATGTTGGGCCCTTCGTCCCCGTCAGCGCCTCTCCTCCTGCAGGTGCTGTCAGGCTGCGGTGTCTATGACGGAACCGAGATCCACGAGGCCTCTGCGTAAGTCCTCAAAGTTTGCAATGTAAACTCTCGCTTGGTTTAAAAAGGCAGAAGCGTAACCAAATGCAGTGGGTTCGCTTCGTGATTAAGCTCAACCCCACAATTAGCACAGGCAAGGCATAAAAGATGCCACCTCAGCCCTGGGTGAAGGCAGCCCCGGAACGTGCCCAAAATGCAACGCCTGCTGTGTCAACAGCCACCGCTGCTCACCACTTAGTAAAAGGAATTGTAGAGACCACTTGACACACCTACCCCTCACCTCGCAGAGATCTGTAAGTGGTAGGTACTGGTTTGAAGCCAGCCGTGGCTCCATAAAAGCAACAAGGTGTCCTATAAATTAGGAATTTCCCCTGCACTGAGTGAAAGCTCATTTGTAAAGTCATCTTGGCCCGAGCCTAGAGGACCAGTTTGGAAGTGACATCTTTGTGGGTTCTCTCCACATAGGGTCTTGGTGCACCTGAGCCGAGGCGGGGCTGAGGTCCAGATCTTTGCTCCTGATGTCCCTCAGATGCATGTGATTGACCACACCAAGGGACAGCCTTCCGAGAGCGAAAGCAGGTACGGATAGGGGAAGGACCATGCAGGACCCCTAGTCCCGTGTGCAGCATCTACTGTGTAGCCTTCGTGGTTATACGGTCGAGCGTATGTCCCTCAAAGCAACTGCCAGCCATCTATTCCTGATACACACTGCTGTGGGCACAATGATTCTACTGTCCCACTGAGAGTTACAGCAATGACAATGGCCACTTGTACTCTGTAGGTGTAAGGTGGTCATAGTCCATTCTTGCTAGTCCCTGTGTGCCACTGCGTTCCCTTTAGCCAATTTGCAGCCACATTTCTTTTTTATTTGGTTTTAGGTTTTGTTTTTTTTGAGACAAATCTGTTTGGCTGTAACAAGCCTGGCACTCACTATGTAGACCAGTCTGACCTTGAACTCATAGAGATTCACCTGCCTCTTCCAGTATTGAGACCAACTGCATGCACAACTACATTTCTTTTTACTTTTAAAGTTTTATTTATTATGTATGCAGTGTTCTGTCTGCATGTATGCCTGCACTCCAGAAGAGGGCACCAGATCTCATTAAAGATGGTTGTGAGCCACCGTGTGGTTGCTGGGAATTGAACTCAGGTCCTCTGGGAGAACAGCTAATGCTCTTAACCTCTGAGGCCTGCAGGGTGTCCTAAGGGCTGAGATTGAAAGGGAAGGGAGGGGAACTTTAACTGCCAAGGCTGTCTGTTGGGCTCCCTGCCATTTCCTTCTCTGTCTAGGACTCCGGCTCCTGAATCTGCCCCTCTTCCTCTGTTATGCAAGCCTAGATGAGGTAGCAGTAGCTTCCTGCTGTGTCTTATGTTCAGGTGGCTTCAGGCATCCTTAAAGTAGTTTCCCTGGTGAGGACCACTGGATTCTGCCTGCTGTGTGTACTTGGTGGGTCTCCAGTTCCTACTGATCTCTAATTCCAGGTAACCTGGTGTCGATCCTGAGGCCAGCCTGCAAGGCTTATTGTTTTTGTAGGTCACTAGAATCTTGCCACTGTCTCCAGACATTGCCTGGATGTGCTAATTGGGAAGCATTTAGTCTCCTTGTGTGAGCCTGCTTGTTTCAGACTGTGAGCCATGTTCCAGATGTGTCCCTAGTGGTGCCTGTTTCCTGGCCCTGCTTACACACCCGTCGTTTGTTAAATGTGTGCTCTTTCCAGGAATGTTTTGGCAGAATCAGCAAGGATTGCCCGAGGCAAGATCACCAACCTGGCCCAGCTCAATGTTGCGAATCATGATGCTGCCATTTTCCCTGGAGGCTTTGGAGCTGCCAAGAACCTGTGCGTGTCCAAGTATAAGGGTCTAGACCACACTTGTGCCTGCTTTTTTACAGGGGGTGGGCTGGGGATACTTTTGCAAGGCCAGCGGTGTGTTCTGTGCTTCTTCCTCAGAGCGTTCGAGTTCTGGTTGGGTTGGGCAGTCTTACTGACCTCCACACTTCCAGTCAGGTCTCAGCAAACTCTGCTTGCTTGTCCTTGCAAGTGTCAATTCTCACATATAGCTGTCCTCCTTCTGTGGTGGTTTGAATAACAATGGCCATAGGCTCATATGTTTGAATGCTTGGTCTTCATTTGTTGGAGCAGTTTTGGAAGGATTGGGAGGTGTGATGTTGGAGGAGGTATATCACTAGGGGTGGGCCTTGAGGTTTCAAAAGCCACCCCTCTCTCTCTCTCTCTCTCTCTCTCTCTTTCTCTCTCTCTCTCTCTTCCTCCTCCCCCCTCTCTCCCTCCCTACCTCTCCTCCTCCCCCCTTTCTCTCTCCAATTTGCAGATCAGTTTAAGCTCTTAACTACTGCTCCGATGCTATGCCTGCCTGCCTGCTGCCATGCTTCATGCCATGATTGTCATGGACTAACCCTCTGAAAACATGCAGATACCTTCTTATCTAAGTAGCTTTGCTCATAGCATTGCTTCACAGCAGTAGAGCAGTGAGTAGGACACCCTCTTCCACTATGTGGGAACAGGAGAGATGAAGAACGCCTTTTGTGCTTTGCCATCTGAGCTGTTGCTGTGGGAAATAGCAAATAAATTGAAGGTGACAGTCTCCGAGTCAGGGTCCTTTTCACAGCTCTGGTTGGTTCTTTCTTGAGCGTCCATGGAAGTCTTTGTGGTTCCATCCTCAGCATGACCCTGAGGGTGGCCACCCAGCTGGTTGTCAGGGAGAGCCTTGAGCAGGTTCTGCAGTGTCCCTAGGCATTTCACTGGGTGTCCTGCACCCAGAGGGGAAGGACACAGGGCTTCATGCTCTGAAGTGTCACCAATCCACCTTTCTTAATCTGAACCCCCCTGGTTGCTTTGTGGGGCCATCAAAATGTCCCTTTCCCTAGATTCTGCACATCTCCAGCCTCTTTGGTAGCACCACCCACTCCGTCCTGAAACCAGCAATTCTGGCCATGCCAGCCCTAACCGAGGACCTGTGTGCCCCATCCTCACAACGGCATGGCAGGGCACGGGTATCACTGGATTTTTCTTCCCCCTTCCACCAAGACCACTGTTTCTTGGAAAGCTGATCTGTGTTCATTACTTCTGCCTGTCAACTCCGGCCTAGTGGAAGGTTGTCTAGAAGCCATGTCTGCCAGCACAGCTGGTCCATCATGTTAAGTAGGGATGTGGGCTCAGGAGCATGTGAGGTTCTTGGTGTTGAGCCTCCATGGTGTTTGAGGAGTCTGAGCCTCAGTACCTGAGTCTGCTAGCCGCTGTGTGAGGTAGCTGCCATCTTTCTGACCTTTGCAGAAGAATGGCATGTCCTCATTGATGCTGCTGTTGAACCCATGAGACCACCATGCTAATTGGTGGTTGCTGCTACCATTTGAAATGTCGCATGCATGTGTAGCAGCAGGTGGCTAAGCCTTAGTGTGCACATGGAGTGAAAGGTGGCTGGGGCTCAGCATGTATGAGGTCATGGGTGGCTGGCTTATTAGCCTTCAACGTGGCAGATGATAGAATCTGTGTGTGCACGTGCGTCAGGGTTAGTGCGTAGTATCGGGCTTACAATGGGAATCCAGTTGTTGCTCCAGACCCTGTTGCCATCTCTTGTGTCTTCTAGAGAAGCCCCAAGTATGTGGGTGTGTCCATTGCCGCCAGTAGCGTGTTAAGTGCTCGTTCTTGCTTTGCCCGATGAATTTGTCTTGAGGTTTGCAGCTGAGCTGAGAACTGTTCAACAGTGGCATAGACTCCACATGGTGGAGTGGCCAACAGGCTGTGAGTCATGTTCCTTGTCACCCTGGTGGCTCAGATGACTTCCTGAAGCTTTGCTTATTTTTAACAGCATCCTAAAGAGGGGTGGGCGTGGGGGACGAAGGTAAATGTGCATGTCAGAGTTCAGAGTTTAAAGGTTGGGAAGATTTGGAGTTCGGCTGACAAAAGTAAAACCTGAGCCTGGTCCCTCAGCCAGCTCTCCAGGCTGCAGCACAGGAGGGCCCGGAAGCTACATCCTGTCAGAAAGAAAGGTACACACACACACACACACACACACACACTCTCTCTCTCTCTCTCTCTCTCTCTCTCTCTCTCTCTCTCTGCTGGGCTCTGCCAGGTTGGATTCTCTAAGGGTGTTGTAGTAACTCCTGAACTGTTCAGCTGCCCTGGGCCTTTATACTCCCAGGAAGAAAAGACAGGCGCTTGTTCGTGTCATCCACTGTCAGTGTACTAATGGCTGCTGCTCTTAGGCTGAGGGTGTTTCTTTGTCTGGGACCCTCTTTTTGAGGTTTGGTTTTTGGTTTGCTGCCCCTGGATTCTGAAGGCGGAGTGCAGACATGGACTGGCCATCCATCTCCTGCCTCCACCCTGCTGGCTGGTGAACGAGAAGCTAGATACAGTTATGCATTCAGTGTGATAGCTTGCAGTCCACCTGGCTTGTGGCCACCCTGTGGGCAGCTCCTCTGGTGTCCAGCGGGCCACTCAGAGATTTCTGGGACACTACTGAGCAAAGCCTCCCCTCTCGTGGCAGGAGCACGTTCGCCGTGGATGGGAAGGACTGCAAGGTGAACAAGGAAGTAGAGCGTGTCCTAAAGGAGTTCCATGGGGCCAAGAAGCCCATCGGGTAGGTGATAGGTAGATACACTGATGTTCAAGAGGGTGGCAGGGGTTTCTGGGAGCTCCTGGCAGAGTCTGCCAGCGCTTGGTGTGGAAGCTTCACCAGTGCTGGAACCCAGTAAGACCAGCAGCAGCCTGTGAAGAGTGGTGGCGTGGGGATGTGGTGGGATTGGCCCCTAGGTGAGGCAGCCATGTGAGCCCAGCCCGTGTTCACTAGTCAAAGCTGCCCACCTCCTGTGCGTCAGGGCAAAGCTCACTTTTTTTGTTTGTTTTGAGACTTACTATGTAGCTTTAACTGGCCTGGAACTCACTATAAAGACCAAGCTGGCCTTGAACTCACAGAGGACCATCTGCTTCCTGAGTGCTGGGAATTATCACTCATGCCACCGTGCCCAGCCAGGGCAGCTCACCTCTAAGGGTTATGGGTCAGAGGTCATACAGGGCTGTCATCTAGGCTAGGCACTCTAGGCCAGTGGTTCTCAACCTTGCTAATGCTGTGACTCTTTAATACAGTTGTGGTGACCCCTGACCCTAGAACTATTTCATTGCTACTTCATGACTAATTTTGCTACTGTTATGAATCATAATGCAAATATCAGATATGTAAGCATATCTGATATGCGACCCCTGTGAAAGTGTCATTCCACTTCCAACCCCCATTTCCACCCCTCTTCTCCCCCCCCCCCCCCCCACCCCACCCCAGTTGAAAACCGCTGCTGTAGACAGTGGACGACCAGATAGATGGCAGTGTAGAGTTTGGCTTCCCAGGCCCCTCCACTTTTCCCTTAGCCATCTCTGCCCAGGGCTGCTCAATACCTGATGCCTGACTGCCAGAGGCCCCAAGCCTGGGGCGAGACTGCCAAGCTGCCGTGTCTGGGGACCAGACAGTCCGCAGTCCCTCTCTTTCAGCTCACACCCTTTAAACTTTCAGCTTATGCTGCATTGCGCCTGTCCTCGCAGCCAAAGTGATCAAAGGCGTCGAGGTCACAGTGGGCCACGAGCAAGAGGAGGGTGGCAAGTGGCCTTACGCCGGAACTGCAGAAGCCATCAAAGCCCTGGGTGCCAAGCACTGTGTGAAGGGTGTGACCATATCCTTTCAGGCAGCCAGTCAGTGTGGTGTCAGGTAGCACATTAGGTACCATTCATTTGGTTGTTTAGGGTATCCATGGCAGACAGCCTTCTCTACAGGAATTACATTTGCTGGTCCTACTTCAAGGGAACCCCTGAGCAAGAGGACAGGACCAGCCAGTGTCATGGGGTGGAGCTAGCTTGGTATGCCACAGGCAGGCTGGTAGAACGCTGGCTCCACGCTTGGCCAGGGAGGAGCCATGTTCCCGCACTTACTGAGACTGCTCAACCCTAAATCCTCAGCCTGGAGCACACAACTGGGTTGCCTGGTCCCCACAGGAGTCCAGGCTATGGCAGGAGCTGTCGCTGGTGACCACAGAAGGAAACAAGACCAGTGTGGGAGAAGTGGGCAAGGCTCCTGGCTTGCTCTAGTGGGCCCCCTCAGTTTCCACAGCTGCAGCTGGCAGGGGCCTGGGCGGGGTGAGTTCCCCCCCGCCATGGGGCCAGCACTGCAGGCTGTTATTAGGGACATCCTCATGCCAGGGTGTCTCATTTTCTTCCTTTGAGTACCTGTGAGTGGGAAGCTAGTTCCTCTTGTTTAATTGGGTGACAGCAGTGCAGCCAGTGCAGAGACATTAGTGCAGTGTCATTGAGCAACAAAGGAGCTCAAGACAGGGCACCGGTAGGCCCTCTGCCCCCCCCCCCCAGACTCCCTGTGGTCCTGCCCAGTGCAAGACTGAGGGCAGGCAGGCCTATTCCCTCATGGTCCTTCCTGCCCGATGCTGGGTTTTCCCTAACAGCTATGCACGAAGCTCATGTAGACCAGAAGAACAAAGTGGTCACGACCCCGGCCTTCATGTGTGAGACCGCACTCCATCACATCCACGATGGGATTGGGGCAATGGTGAAGAAGGTGCTGGAACTCGCGGGAAAGTAGCGCTGCCTGGGCCGTACCTGGCCTCCAGTGCTGTGGAGCCGTCAGCCTGTCTGGGTTCCATTCAGCAAGGACACAGGAGTTGCCTCTCTGTTAGAAGCATAGTCGCGCTCTGCTGAAGAAGCTTTGCCTCCGTCCACACTGGGCTCAACCCAGCCCCTTCTACCAGCAGAAAGCTCAGAGCCCCTCCGTGGACTCCAAGTAACAGCGGGAGCTTCAGCGGTGGGGGCTTGCCTCACTGTGTGTCCCCCACCTTTTCCAGAGGATCTGGTTGAAGCACTTACATTGTACAGTCCTAGGTCGGATGGACCAGGGTTCTTCTAGTTTTAAACAGTTTAGTTTTTCATTATCAGACCACTGTCTGATAATCAGAGATACCTTGTTTATGGATAAAGAAAAGTAAACACAAGCTGACTAAAGCCAGGGAGATTCTGTAGCTGGCAGTCCCTGTGGCCACAGAATAAACTCCTTTCCACACTGGAAACTGCTTTCAGCCGTGTCTCAGGCCTTCTGAAACTAGTGAATGGGACCCCATAATGGGAGGTTTCTGAAACTAGTGAATGGTATCCCATAACATGAGGTTTCAGTGAGTCTGGGTTCTCTGAGTTTTCAGGAAGCAGGGGAAATCAGTAGTAGTGAACCTCCCTGTGTGGGCCTGCTGGCTGGGCCTGCGAAGTTGCTCCAGGCTGAGATTGTGTGGCCTGGGTAAAGAAGGAAAAGTAAAAGACAGAGGTGCCCCGGTGGTGCCTTCTGCACTTGTCCCCTTATGAAAAGGTGTCGGAGTGATCTGATGGAGGTCTGAGCACACCTCATCTATTCTAGAACATTCTCTTCTGGGGGGCCAGGCAACCTGAGGGTTCCTGCAGCACTGACAGTAAGACAGCTGCTCCTTTAGCTTGGCAGAAGCGGGGTTAGGCCAGGAGGGAAGCCTCCTTAGCAGGCTGTCTGCCATCTCCAAGTACCTGCCCACACACAGAGAGTACTGCAGGAGAGACACTCTGGCCTACAGCCCTGGAGAAAGTGGCCCTTGCTATTTCTCAGACTGCTCCAGTGGCCATGATTCTTGACAGTCTGAGCCTTTAGGCCTCTTACCAGGACCTGTGGCATGCACCCATCGTGGTTTCTGCACTACTGTCCAGGTAGCCCCCTTCTGGATCACCTGAAGAACCTCCCCCTAGGTCTGCCCTCCCCAGTCCTCAGAAGTGAACCTCCTGATGCTTCCTGTATGTATACAACTTCAATGATTTTCCACGGCGGAACTACACAGCCAGCACAGTCTCCCCAAAGCCCCTGCTTCCTGCCTGCTCCAGTCCACCCAAGGCCATCCAGAGTGATGGCTTCTGCCTGGCCTGTGGTGTGTGTTGCTCTGATGACATCACCTCCCAGATACTTTGGCTTCAGCCTCCTGTTGGCCTGCTGGGCTACCTGGCTGTAGAGTTAGCTGCTGTAAGGGATCCTCGTAGGTCCCCTGTGCTCCTGCACCACACCTGCCTGGAGGCTGCTGAGCTGGTGGTCTCAGCAGATAATCTCCAGCAGTGCCCAGAGTGTGCCTGATATTTCTCCCAGTACAGTTGGTAGATGCACCATGTAACGTTCACTGGCACTAGGCCTGTCAGGATCTCAACTGGTGGGAATGTGTGGGGGTGTCTCCTGAAGTGTTTGCTGACATTAGTCCCTTCTGTCCCCTCTTGGCCTTCTGGGCATCCCCTGGGCAGAGAGTCTGTTGATGTCACTGCCCCACTTGTCTGCCTCTTCCCCGGCTAGAGATAGGCAATCTACTAACAAATCCTTTGTTTGATAAGCAACGCCCATGGGCTTTCTATCCTCCACCCACTTTCCTTGAGTGTCTGGTGGACAGGCATGCTCGGGTTTGCTTCTACAGAGGAAGGTTCAGGCCAACAGCTGCTTGTTCCCTTGCTGTGCTGTGCTAGCTGAGCAGGAAAGGGTACAGTAGCCTCTGAGCACCCCACGGGGGGATGGAACCCCCAGAACCTGTGCCCATTTCAGACCCTACTTTGTGACCTGAGTGTCCTTAGTCCTTAGATGTATTGGGAATGTCATGTTCCCACAAGTGGAACACAACCTTAGGAGTGACCTACTGCCTGGCTTTTGTCTTTTCTCATGTCTGCCACATGCCACAGGTAACAGAGGGAAGTGAACTCATGAGAGACCACCAAGGGAAGGCTCAGTGCTGTTAGGCACTTGCACCGGTGCCCTGTGGGCACAGTTTCTGCACAGATGTGCCGTTGGGTTCAGAGTGGCCCCATGCATGTCTTCCCTGGCTTACACAGAAGTGACCGAGTATGGCCAGCACACTATGCTTCCCCAGCACAACCAGCATAAACCAGATCCCTTCGATGTTGGCCTGGGCCATCCCTCTGTCACAGGTGATGGGGAACCACAGGTGTGCTTAGCGGAAGCCAGGTGGCACCATGTTGAGCAATACTTTTGGGTGGTGAGAAAACCCTCAGTGGGGCCTGAAGCAAGAAGTTAGCTGTTGGCTCCTAGAAATGGAATCGCCACTGTCTGCCAGGCGTGTAAGAGACTACCATTCTTGCCTCCATGGACCTAGTAAGGGCTTGTTAGCAGATAGGATGGAGGGTCTGAGTGGACACATTATCAAGGATGCCAGAAGAGGGGTCAGGGACCACCAAGAAAGGAAGCAGCCAGGGTGAGTGAGAGGGTATGTTCCTGAAGACCCATTCTTGGAACAAGTCCTGTCCCTAGAGACCCAAGTCCACACAGCTCATTAGCAAGGCTGTGATTTTAGGTACCACCAGCAGGGGGCACAGTGGACCAGCCTTGGGACCTCTTGCAGGTTCCCAGACCTGATCAAGGCCAAGGGCCTGCTAAGCTGCCCTCCCCCTGACAACACACACCTGCATCCTATACCTTACCATTTTCAGAAGCCCTCCTGGGAACCCCCCCCCCCCGGCCTCTGCTTCCCAGGTCTACTTCACAGGTACGTCCATCTAAGCCAGCAAGTCTCAAAATGAGGACGTGTTGAGTTCCCAGGGGCTCCACTGCTGCACCTGCTCCAGGTGTTCCTCTTGTCTTTACCCCCACCTGCCCCAGCCACCCTGAGCACCTGCCTCATCCTCTCTCCATCTACCTCTTTCAGGCCCCTGGAAGCTTGGATCCTGGAACCCTGACCAGGGGTGGCAAGGGAAGGAAGAAAGAGCAGACACACACAGGGGAAAGCTGGGGTCTGGTGTGGATATGCACACACTGATACACCTGCTACAGCCGGCAGGAACCTCGTGTGTGTATTATGTACGGCACAGGGGGACGGATTAGCTAGCTAGTCCGCAGTCTCTGTGGGCAGGGCGTCAGCGGGCCGGGAGTCAGCCTCAGGGTGTAAATACCTGGGAGGAGGAAGATGCATTTGTTAGTTTTTGTACATTGTGATCATCAACACTCAACATTTGGACTCCAAGGAGAGCTTTGCCAACCCTCTTGGTCCTCACCTAAGTAAGGCTCTGCCACTCCTGCAGGGCTGAGGCTTTGGCGTCCTTGACATGGCCATGCCCCCGTCAACAATACACGTGCCTCTCAGGGCTTCTGAGGACTTGTACTCCCTGCACTAACCTTTCCCATTGATGCTCCTGTTGCCAGCCTTTCCTGACTGGGCCCCATCACTCAAACCCACTATACACCAGGTATGGCAACACATGCCTGAAATCCCAGCATTGGAGGAACCAGGAGAATCAGGAATTCCAGGTCATGGTTGGCTGCACAGTGAATTAGAGGCCAGCCTTGACTAAAATAATAATGAAATCTAGCTTCCCTCTTCTTGATCAACTGGGGCTTTTCAACCTTTGCCTTGTGCGTTTAGACTTGTAGTCCAGTTTGAACTAAGGTGAAGGTGAAAGATCCCTTGGGTTTTTGTTTGTTTTTGCCTTATGTGGTGGAATTTGTTTTTAATTTATTTTTATTTCATGTGCATTGGTGTTTTGCTGTATGCATGAGGGTGTCAGATCCCCTGGAACTGGAGTTACAGACAGCTGTGAGCTGCCATGTGGGTGCTGGGAATTGAACCCAGGTCCTTTGTAAGAGCAATCAGTGCTCTCAACCACTGAGCCATCTCTTCAGCCACTCCTCATCTTTGATTTTTTTTTCACTCTTTTGTGGGGTTTTTTAAAATATATTTTGCACATATTCTGTAGGTTTATATCTTAAGTGTTTCATTCTGTAGATATTGGGGTCAATGTTGCTGTATTTTAAATTTCAAATTCTAGCCCTTTGCTGTTGGCCTGTATTAAAACGATGGGCTTTGAATTCTGCCACCTTTGAGTTGAGGAATGTCCCCTCTACCACTCACATTGATGGGATTTTCTTCTTTACCTTCTGATGTGGATGCATGCCCCAGATCAAAGCAGCCTTTTACATCTGGGCAGTCTCCCTTGGTCGTGATGTGTGATTCCTTTCATGCACTGTTGTTGTGTATCTGCTAACATGACTGAGGATCTTTGCCATCTGTTGTCAAGAGAGATGATGATGCTCAGTTTCTTCTTCCATAATGTCTGTCTGGTTTGGGTATTAGGGAAATGTGGACCTCACAGATGAGCCAGGGCACATTCCTTCTGCTTTTGTCTTCCAAAAGAGAAAGTCGAAAGTTGCGTCATGTCCTCCCATAAGTGTAGAGCTGACCAGAAGAGCCTCTGGCCTCTGGGCCAGGTCTGTCAGTTTGGAAGGTTGATAGTAACTTCAGTTTCCTAGATAGACAGATACATAGATAAACACCTAGATAGATAACAGAGAGCCGGATGGAACCTCTGTAGACTGTGGTCTCTTCTGTGAGTTTTGGCAGGTTTTGTCTTTGAGGTCGGTCCACCTCACCTATTTGACGCTATTTGTGGGCACGGTGTTCACAGCCAGTCCGACCCCACTCCTGTCCCTGTTATTATCAATACTGTCACTGGTTTGGCCAGAAACTGAATGGGTGCCTCGATCTTTTCAGAGAGCCAGCTTTAGGTTTTATTGATTCCAGTTTGGTCTCTTTCTTTCTTCTCTCGACTTAGATTTAATTTATTCTTCTGTATTTGGTGTCCCGCGACATCAGCTTGGGTTATGTCTTCTCTGATACTCACATCCCAGGGCAGACGATTTCTCCCAGCCACAGTTGCCCTGCATTCCGCAATTGTCATTAAATTCTGATTTCATTTTCATTTACTTCAAAATGTTTTAAAAATTCTTTGACCTGTGTGTTACTTCTAAGTGTGTTGTTTAATCTGCAAGTGTTTGGGGGGTTTTCCAACTATGGAATTTAATTCCATTGTGATCATCTGAGGATATACCACGTGTGATTTCTCTTCCTTTTAGTTGGGGATGTTCATGGCCCAGATTGTGGTCTGTACTGATGGATGTTCCTTGAAAGCTAGAGAAAAAAATGTATTTCTGCTACCGGCCGAAGTCCCCAGAGCCGTCCATTATGGTGGATGGTGTTGCTGACCTCAGCCCTGCGCTTACTTTCTTTCTGCTGGA